CACAAAATCTCCAACATCACCAACAACAACGACATAATCAAAAGTATTAAAACCCACGAAAATTGTGACAACTGGAGTCCCACAAACAAAACCTTAGGAGAAGACGACTAAAGCTTCGACCACCCCCGTGCCCCGCCCTGGGAAGAGCTCACATGGTCAGGGTCTCAAACCAACAACAGCAAAACTCCATATAACAACACCAGGTCTATATGGTTCTTCGTTGGCAAATATTTTGTGTGGATACGGCCATGCAGGATACAAAACAGGTAAGGAGTCGACTGATTGAAGCTTGTGTTTATACCCAGCTGTATAGACACAGTATCCGTGTGTATGCCAAATCCATAACTGAGACGCACATGTTATAAGCGTCGGTTAATAACAAACTCCACTGGGAAATATCAGTAAACTTTTCCATGACACTGACGAATGCTTGATTATTATTGGTTAAAACAATCTGTAAATCAGGTATCTAATGCTATTAGATACTTAAAAATTACCAGGCCTTTCCACACAACAACTTGCCTATGAATACATTGATCTATGGAGTGAGTGAGCATGGTTTTACGCCGCTCGAACTTGGGCTCTCTGTGTGACCACTTGGCTACTCCACAGTGGTTAAAGCTTTCGCTCGTCAAGACCCGGGTGCGATTCCCGGCATGGGTACAATGTGGGAGCCCATTTATGATGCACCGCGCTGCGATACTGCTGGAATATTGCTAAAGGCGGCGTAAAACCACATTCACTCACTCAAGTCGACAGGTACATCAAGGTATAACCTGATATCTCCGATGCCGGTTTGGCTGTAAGAAGCTTGAATTGCAGATATTACAAAGATTGGCCAAAAATGCTGCCATGGCGGTGGGGTGTGTTTTGTCAATGTAGAAGCACGAAGAAGACCTTTGGAGTTTTCCAGTTGTACACGCGATTAATCAATAACGTTCAGATATTTGACTTATATGATAAAACACGTAATTGGGTTTTATGAGATTTAAAACCTGAATCCAAGGGATAAAATCGAGGGGCGTCAGGGGTGAGGGTAAATGTTTTATCTAACTTATAAACCGTAAACAAAAATTTAAAAAATTAATCAACATTTACATGTTTTAAACATACTTGTCATGCACATTAGGAAACGGGCGTAAAATATCTGTTGTTGGCGTACATGTACTTGTAACAGGCGCTCTGAACAGCATTGAGATTTATCAGCGTCTCTGAAGACTTGTGATACACTCTTTCGGATACAAATACGGAAGTTGCAACTCCGACTCGCGGAAATATAAAGAAAAACATTTCACTTTTCGGTTTGCACCATTCCACATGCCATTACATTGTCTTCAAATGTAAACTAAATTTCTAGCAAGATACATTCACATGCGTGCAAGAATAGGTCTTCCGCAACCCATGCTTGTCTCCCCTCGTGAACATCCGTGTCAGAATAGGTCTTCAGCAACCAATGCTTGTCTGCCACCGTGAATATCCGGGTTAGGAAAGTTATTCAGCAACCCATGCTTGTCTCTCCCCGTGGAGATCCGTGTAAGAATAGGTCTTCAGCAACCTATGCTTGTCTTCCTCCATGAAGATCCGGGTTAGAAAAGGTATTCAGCAACCCACGCTTGTCTCAAACCGTGAATATCCGTGTAGGAATAGGTCTTCAGCAACCCATGCTTGTCTCCCCCGTGAAGATTCAGGTTAGGAAATGTCTTCAGCAACCCATACTTTTCTCTCCCCGTGAATATCCGTGTAAGAATAGGTCGTCAGCAACCCATGCTTGTCTCCCCTCGTAAGATCCGTTTACAAATAGGATTTCAGCAACCCATGCTTGTTTCTACCCGTGAATATCCAGGGTAGAATAGGTCTTCAGCAACCCATGCTTGTCTCCCCCCGTGAACATCAAGGGTAGAATTGGTCTTCAGCAACCCATGCTTGTCTCCCCCCGTGAAGATCCGTGTAAGAATAGGTCGTCAGCAACCCATGCTTGCCTCCGTTCGTAAGATCCGTGTAAGAATAGGTTTTCAGCAACCCATGCCTGTCTCCCCCCGTGAAGATCCGGGTTAGAAAAGGTCTTCAGCAACCCATGCTTGTCTCTCCCCGTGAATATCAAGCGTAGAATTGGTCTTCAGCAACCCATGCTTGTGTCCCACCGTGAAGATCCGGGGTAGAATAGGTCTTCAGCAACCCATGCTTGTCTCCCCTCGTAAGGTCCGTGTAAGAATAGGTTTTCAGCAACCCATGCTTGTCTCTCCCCATGATTATCCAGGGTAGAAAAGTTCTTCAGCAATCCATGCTTGTCTCCCACCATAAAAATCAGTGTAAGAATAGGTCTTCAGCAACCCATGCTTGTCTCCCTCATACAGAATAGGTCTTCAGCAACCCATGCCTGTCTTCCCCCGTGAAGATCCGGGTTAGAAAAGATATTCAGCAACCCATGCTTGTTTTAAACAGTGAAGATCCGTGTAAGAATAGGTCTTCAGCAACCCATGCTTGTCTCCCCTCGTAAGATCCGTGTAAGAAAAGGTTTTCAGCAACCCATGCTTGTCTCCCCCCGTGAAGATCCAGGGTAGAATAGATCTTCAGCAACCCTTTCTTGTCTCCAACCGTAAAGATCCAGGGTTGAATAGGTCTTCAGCAACCAATGCTTGTCTCCCACCGTGAAGATCCGTTTTATAATAGATCTTTAGCAACCGATACTTGTCTCCCACAGTGAAGATCCGGGGTAGAATTGGTCCTCAGCAAGCCATGCTTGTCTCCCACCGTGAAGATCTGTGTAAGAATAGGTCTTCAGCAACCCATAGTGGTCTCCCACCGTGAAGATCCGGGTTAGAATAGGTCTTCAGCAATCCATGCCTGTCTCCCCCTGTGAAGATCTGTGTAAGAATATGTCTTCAGCAACCCATGCTTGTCTCTCCCAATGAAGATGCGCGTTAAGATAGGTCTTCAGCAACCCATGCTTGTCTCTCCCAATGAAGATGCGCGTTAAGATAGGTCTTCAGCAACCCATGCTTGCTGTAAAAGGCGACAATGCTGTCGGAAGAGGCGAGTAACGGGATCTAGTGGTGAGACTCACTGTCTTGCTTGATACATATCATCGTATCCCAATTGTGCGGATCGATTCTCATGATATCAATCACTGGATTGTCTGGCCACGACTCGATTATTAACAGACCGCCGTCCTCTAGCTGGAATATTGCTGAGTGCGGCGTTTAACAACAAACACACAACAAACAAACAAAACTTATCAGGTCTTACAAGAAAAAAGTAAAACGCCATAACTGGGATCAGGTCTTACGTAGAAAAGTAAAAGTGTTTATCATGCAAAAACAAGTAACGTCCAAGACAATGGTCAATATCCATGATAAGTTTATAAGTCCGTTTCCTAAGGTTCAAGGAAAGTGTGTTGGAAGTTTCTGATAAATATTGTTTAAAATTAAAGGACGAAAAAAACGTCACCTCAAATATATCTTCAATGTATTTTCAACCAATGTCAAAACACATTTTAATATAGATTAAAACGTATCGGCAAAACGCAATTTATGCATTCCTTTCACTGACATGCGCAGAATGCATGTGCTGGTTGTGATAATGCCCTTATTGCTAGGAAACAGGCATAACCCCTGGATAAATACCCGTATGCAAATCTGGTTTAAAACAGGGGTGAACTCAGGCCCATGTTGCTGAGGTAATGGGCTGTTCGAGAAGGACGATACTCGAGGTTAGTCAGCCGGTTTAGGCAGACAGGTGGAACAGCAGACAGGCCTAGGAACGGTGGACCCAGAGTTACAACCCTCAGGAAGACAATCATTAACGACTGCTTCACCTTAGGAACAGATACCTCACAGTGACGACATCGGGAGAACATGCCCTTTGTCATCCCATCAACAGAAAGACCGTGTCCAGACGACTTCGTCACTATGGTCTGAGAGCCTACCGACAGTTCAAGGGCATGACGTTAACGCGTGAACATCGACGTCAGAGAATGAGGTGGACGAGGAATATCGAGCTTAATTATCGGCGGCCAGGGAAATTGAACAATACGGTTGTTGCAGTGTGACTGTCTGGAGTGGGATTTGCGGAGACATGAAGACGGATCTGGTTGTCAATGATGGCAATCTTACCGCTGCACGCTACATCAGTGAAGTGTTAACACCAATTGTACTGCCATTTCTCTCCAACTCACCCACATACAGCCCACATTATCAGAGCATTGTTCAACGCCAACAACGTGAACCTACTTCCTTGGCCGGCAAGATCTCTCAACAGGTCTCGAACATCTGTGGGACCACCTGGCACGACAGATTAGGCAACCTCAGCCACGCCATGAGAAAGGAGTGGCGTTAGCTAAGGTATTGCAGGCAGAATGCCATCTGATCCCTGACCTCGCAATTAGACGACTACCTTTCTCTGCTCGGCACCGTGTCACAGGCGGCATCGAAGCTGGGGGAGGACACGCCAGATATTGACAGGTTAGATGCTTTTTCTAACTAACTCTAACTTTTTTTAAAGTGGCGGTTCATTTTTATTAGTGATCGAATATTAGACAGTTAACCTTCTGTGCAAAACATGTCGATAAACCACTGGATTTGTCAGTGTTTATGCACACTTTTTGTAAATTACCCAGTTTTCAAATACAACAATAACCGTTATAAAACATAGCTTTGTTATTTTGTGGCATTGAAAATAGGTGACGTTTCTTATGTCCTTGAGTTTAATATCGTGTTTAATCATTAAAAATATTAGTTGGCCTTGACTGAGAATGTAAGCCAGAGGAAGAGTGAAATTGGTGAGGGCTAACATTCTTAATTCAAAATATCGGAGCTGGTTTTGTCCTTTACAACTTCAACAACGTCCAATATTGTGGTTATTCTCCCTTGGGGTGCCATTTAATGTGGTCATAGTATCATTATTTCTGACACAATTCGCGATATTGTCCAATAATGTGAACAGAGATCACATCACATATCGCTGTTGCTATAAACTGCCTTCAGGCAATAAGAAAAGTAAAAGACATTTTTTATAAATTTATTTAACAAAGAAATCTTTAAAAGAGAAGAAAATTACCAAGAATGCAACTCAACACATTGTTTCACATTTAACTTCTCTTGATATATACTACTCAAAGTTTGCTAAGGATCAAGTTTTGATGATACCTAAACAATATCATCCAACAAATTAACATTGTAATATCCCTGCACACAATGATTGGATTACCCCTAAAGTATCTCACGTACAGAGGCATGCAGTCATTGGCAAAAAGTGCACGAGGTGCTTGAAAACGAGCGTTCATTCGTATCGTGGCAGAATCTTGGCACATCATTATCAGAGAGCACAACAACATTTGCTACTAGGATTGCAACAACCGAATTCACTTATGCTCCCTTAAAGATGTCGTTTGACAACCGAAGAATTAGGCAGATGCCAGCTACAGATACCAAGCGACATGGGGCAGAGTTCTACCACACAGCGGGAAGACTGGATTGGAGGAAGACATCATCACTTTGTGACTGAAGAGTTCTTACTGAAGAGTGAACCAATCTTCCCTTGGCAACCATCAAGACACTTAATGGGAGCATGAGATTGAGTGAGTGAGTATGGTTTTACACCGCTTTACCAATAATCCAGCAATATAACGGTGGGCTTCACACATAGTACCCAGGTTTGGGAATTAAGCGCGGGTCTCTGGCCTAATGAGCGAACGCTATAACCACTAGGCTACACGACCACCCAGAGAAGTATGAGAAGCGGTGTCAGGTTGTGAACGCATCACGTGGGTCACATACGGGCTACTGGGAGTTTTTGTCAGAATATGTGTGTTTTTCAGTTTTACTCTCATTCTGATGAGTGATCTGATTGATCATTGGTCACATGTATTTTGCAGACATTACATGTCACGTGACTTTTGCTCTATTAAACATGGCTTAACGCAATATTGTCATCGCCTATTTCAACAGATGTACACAATTTGGGGTATTACCTTTTTAAAAGTAGCGATCCTTTGGAGTAAAATGCGGTAAACTCATGTGGACATTTTTTTCCTGAATAGTTAAATTGGTAGATAGAGGTGACTACATAGTGTTTCTATGGCATATGTTTATCATAAGACACACGTCCAGAACAGATTATATAACAGAAGTGCTCAAACCTTCCGCGGCAGATATTGCCAGAAGGGAACTATCTAACACATGTCTAAAGTAAGACCGCGGCAAAATGGCAATAAGGTAAAGGCGAAAATGAAAGGGTAGCCAAATTACTATTCCCATGGCATAGTTCCAAAACATGAGAAACAGTTATTCATTACATTATCTAGCTGTTATTTATACATACCTAGGTTACAAAGCATGGTAAATTATTTAAAAACAGATTTCGCAAAAGCCAAGTAGTAAACAAGACGAACAAGACTGTAGTAACATTAAGACAAACCTAATGACATTACGCTACTTTCCATACTACATCCAGAAACCAATTCATCGACAGACGTTTCTCAATAAAAAATGGAGGTGAACCAAACATGGGTCACATGTTCCTCTGTGGTCTAGTTGATAGAGCATCTGCAGGGAGTGCGTAAGGTCAGTGGTTCGATCCCCTGACCGCGCCATACCAAAAGTTGCTACCATGGCTGGGGCTCGGCCTTAACGGGCTATATAACAGGCACTGGTGGGTTCATAGTCACTGTCAGAATGGGGTATTCATGTTCAACTGTGGTGAGCACTATCGAACCGACATTATTCCGGACAGGTATAAGCACAAACACACACAGGCACTCGTGAACACTTCCATGCACATGGATATATACATATACGTAAGTTCAAGGGTGTGGGAGGCGAGGGTCTGGTTTGAAGCATAATAACTTGTTTTCAGAATTTTCGGGAACAATATTTTTTTTGGATATAAACCCAGCCCCAAATGGTGCTTATTCAATCCTCATTCAAAGACTTTTTGACCATGAGTCGTCTGACGCTCTTCGAATGAGGAGCATTGCTCAATTGTACCAAGAAAAAACTGAAATGTCGACCTCAAAGCCTGGATCTGAAGAAATGTATATAAAAAAATCTGTTCTATTGAATATATAATAAAGTAACATAAATGTAAACGTAGTGACCAAAATTATATGAATGAATCACTGAAAATCTAGCTTTTACAGTTCTTTGTCATACAGCTACCATTATGAAAATGGGTTTAATGAAGCAAGCCTGCTCTTTACCCATCGGTAAGCAGTTCCAAAGTAACTAGTGTCGCTATTTTCAACTTTCTCTCGTATCTGCTTCCGAGCTTCTTCATGTCGCATTTCTTCTCTCGTACGCTCATGTTCTTCCCTAATGGTTTTCTGAAGATCTTTCACCTTCTGAACTTCTCTCTTCATGTTTTCCTCTGCAGCTGTCTCCTTTTGTTCAGCCATCCGTTTCTTTTCTTGTTGAAGTTGTCTCTCCAGTTCTTGCACTTTAAGTTCCTGGCTCTGTAACTGTTCTTCATAGGCAGCAGCTTCTTGCTTGAGTTTCTCCTCGAGCTGCTTCTCCCTCTTCTCTTCAAGTTTTTCCTTCTTCTCAGCTTCTCGAAGCTCAGCCTCACACCTCTCATACATCTCGTTTGTGTAGCACTGGCCGCCGTTGGCATCAACCATGCTTTTTATCATGTTGATCAGGTCTCTGGTAAATTTCTCCTTCTCTGGATCCGTCCCCCTGTTGTTGACAGCAATACAGCGACGACTTACATCAAATAGAAACTTCTTCAGTGTCACTGGGCAATCACCTAGATAGTTGTCAAGGGTATCATTATCCGCTTCCAAGTCATCTTTTCAAGTAAATACAATAATCACAAATCGTTTTGATTCTTCTCCAAAGCAGCGCAGGAACCTTTCAAGTGTATTTTTGTCTTCTTCAGTGAACCTTCCTACCCTCACGATGAAAAGAATGGCGTGTATTCCAGGAGATGACATGCCTATACATTTCATTATCTCTTCCTTTATGTCGTCATGTGATTTTACTGTGTCACAAAAACCTGGGACATCAACAAGCTGCAAGTCGTAATCAAAGCGTTTAAAGGAATGCTGTTTACATTTCTTTGTAACAGACATTGCTCTTGCGAATGAGTCAAATATCTTCACAATCTTTCCGGCTCCAGCTATTGTATTCCCTGTTTCACTTTTACCAACTCCAGTCTTTCCTACAAGTACCATTCGAATTTCCCTGTCTAAGAAGCTGGAACGTTTCCCTGTGAAAGAGAATGCAAACAGTCTTACACTCACGACTCAAAGGATTATGAATTACATCATTTTGTCAGCTGATCTTCAGTCAAATGCAAATGCGGAAGACTGACTATTTCTGTCTAAGTTTTAATTATCAAGGTAATAATTATGTCCCATAAATATGATCACAATGTCTGTCGGTTAGATCAATTTCATAGGGAATATATTTGCATCGTTTCAAACAGAACAAAATACTTAATATCGGTGTGTCAGATAAAAAAAGGACACGAGTGCCAGAATTATTGCGGCAGTAAGATACTATTGACATGATTGCAAAGCTCGCTTGTTTTATTCAGTCCCGACTACCCGATTAATCAATGATCAGCAAACAGGTCTAACTCCTTGATTAACCAGTTCAATTCAAAATATCAACGCCAGAGATCAAGTCTTCCAATCAAGATTCCGCATGACGTAAAAGACAGAACATCTGCCATGACACCAGGTTTTCGCTTAAAGGGTAAACATGGCTTGCCCACCAAACGAGTAGCACCTATCACTGTTGTCATAATAAAGGTAGTGTTTGTTTGTATGTTGTAGTAAGTAATGTAATGTTGGTGACACATGATGACACAGCCCCCCCCCCCCCCCACATGGTTTCACCATAGCAAGCAGCTCATACAGTTTCCACCCAGTTTTCCTGCACAACTTGAACACATGTCTGCATAGGGACGTACCTTTGTAAGCCATTGTAATGGGTATGCCTGTTAAACAATCTGAAATGAAAAGAAAATAGTATCAACACCATTGTGTTTATTCCTATTCAATGTCCTTATAGCAGACAGTGTACCAATGATAGAATGCTAAATGTTTATCAAAGATTTATTCAACATACATGAACCTTTCACTCTCCATCGGGATTCCTGCAAGTATGATTTGTGTTTACAGAGGGTGTAATCGTGACATATTTCAGGATTGACTGTGATAAATACTCAAATAGTCATTAGCATCGAATTCCACACCACAAACATATGTTCTCAATATTAGACAACAAAGCACATTCGTGATATACTGGTTTATGTATGATGCGGAGCAACGATTGAAAACATTGTTTCAGCCTTCACGAGATAAGCTTACATGTTAATCCTAATATAAGTAAAATGCCTCCCTTGTGAACGACTTGTCAAACCCTGATAAAAAAAAGATGGGAAAGTGCATTAACACTAGGGTTGTCACGATAAATTGAAATATCGATATATTGCTATTGGGAAGCACTTAAAGTCAATAAATCGATTCTTAAATCAGTTTCCGATCAATTGTATCGATTTCAGTTAGGAATATCGATAGTTTCGATTGTATTAAATACATCAATTAATAACATGCAATGCTGTACAAATTTGTTTTTCTTTTGATCATGAGTGGTAGTAATTTACATATGAATTTTCTTTTTCCTAAATTATTAGGGTAAAAAAAACAACAAATCAGTCATATCTCAAAGTTTACTTTTCATTTGTTGTTATTGTTATCACATTCAAAGGAAACTTCAGTTTCAATATTTAATTCAACTCTAAAATCCATCTAAAATGATACACTGAAAACTATCGATATTTATCGCAATATTTGCTTGCAATATCAATAGGTATCGCAATAGTTTCTTTCAATATCAATAGTTATTGCAATAGTGATTTCCAGACCAATAGTCACCCCTAATTAACACATGCATACCTCACAGAGACAATCGTTTCACAGAACAGTGGCCCGCTTCGTGGGAATTATTTGGTACAAAATTCAAACAAGAGTGAGTGAGTGAGTGAGTGAGTGAGTTGGGTTTAACGATGCTTTTAACAGTATTCCAGTTATATCACGGCGTGTCAGCTTAATGTGGGAGGAAAGCCTGAAGTGATGCAGGTCTCAGACGTTTACCACTTCGGTGAAACCCATGAGCACGGGTATGGTGCTGACAAACCTAGAAACATAATTAGGGCGAACCGGAATTCGAACCCACAATCATAGGTTTCTGGCGTGCCCAAGGGACGCGACTCTGCACAGTCAATCGCGGCGCCTTAGACGACTGGGCCACCCGTGCCCCCCTCAAACAAGAACAAAACAGACAGCATGGTGTGAGTTTATTGTAACATGAAGATGAAAGGAAAGATAAAAGTTTCACCCCGTCCTATGTCACTGTAATACATTTTGTATGTCTTTATAGATAAGAGAGATACGCAAAGAACAACGAGGGACGAGGTTTAGTGTATTTCACGATAAAACATTCTTCTGTATTTAACATCATTTCTAGAGATTCCAACAAGTAGTATAGGTAATGGGGGTTCTGCCGCAACTCTACTGGAGTCAGATTTATAAACCTATACTGCTACTACAGATGGAATTTTTTATGCAAAAATGATGATGCGATTCAACAATCGTCATGAGATTAAACTAAATTATAATGCAAATATTCTCTATTATTTTTATTCATATGTATACCATTATTTTTAACGAAGTGATATTCAACATTTTTACTAAGTTCTTCGTTCATTTTACTAGGAGACCAGACTATATACTCTTCTTGGTAACTGGAAAGAAACAATTGATGACCGTATTTGATTGGTTTGACATTACTGATATAATATATACCTTGTGGTAATTCTCTCCATTTGATAATTTTGTCCCTGAGCATAGATGCTTCGATAGCTTTTTTGAGTTCTTCCTTTGTTGGTTTGTAATTCTTTATTATTATATACTTACGTAAGCATTCGTTTAAATGAATGAATGATTTTTAATGCGGTGTGATCTAATGATAGTAAGCAATCTGTTTTTAATCTCCAACCAGTTCTTTGGTTTTGGCACGGAATAATTGACGCGCTTGTTGCCTCCCCTGTTCTATGAACTTTTTTTTCTCGTCTTCGCTATAACCACTGGTCTTACGAGAATTTGATCGAATCTCCTGCTTCATTACATTGTATTTGGTGAGTTCCGACAACACAAAATGAAACTCCTCCTTGGATATCTTACAATCAGCCATTGCTGTTGAAAAATGATCCTCAATGCTGTTCAACTTTGCTTCGCCGAGTATCCAAATATTATCATGATTTAATGCTTTTTTTGGCAACCTACGAGAAATGAATTTTATCGCTATCCCTGCCAGTCCTGAGACTCCGGCCGCTATTTCCATGCCAAGAATGATAGGTGCGGCGATTATAGTTGATAATAAACCAACACCGGCTACATTGAGTCCCATGCAAGCATGTTACAAGCGCGGTATCAACTCCGTCGAGAGCATTCACTGTTATGCAATCCAAGTCTAAACCCCCTCTCCTTCTCTATTCCATGTTTTATGTCGCTTATTCGATGTAATCGAAATCAATCAACAGTTTCCATCTTTTCAGATGCCTCATCGAGCGCGGGATATAAACCCATAGTGTTTATTATTATATCATACAATAGTCTTTAATTGGTCTTGTTAAATGTTTTGAGAGTATACATCAACCTTATCAAATGTATATTATACGGCATGAATATCTTAGTAAGAGAAATGCTGTCACTTTTTATAATTTGAACCCCCTCAAGGGTTGCAACATGTGATGCTCCAATATAAATAATACTGCAACGTTGACGTTGGTGTTTCTTTAGCCATTTAATCGATAGACCTGGTAATATTTCGAAAGCATCTTCCGGTGCATCTCAGAACAAGACTTCAATAATAAGCGTAGAAAGATTAGGTATTGCACTCAAGTTCTGTTTAATATCGTTAAATTCAGTAACCAAATTTAAACTAACATTTTTTACTACATGACCTGGTTTTTTTTGGCAGGGGGGTGACTAACACACTTTTTCATCTTGATGGGATATAAGCCCCGAGTACTATTTATTATCTTAGTTAAATTATGTGCCTTACCCATCATCACATATGGTGGGGTAATGACGATATTCAGTAGCCGCTCGTGGTTTGCTTCAACCATAGTCTATTTATTATCATCGTTGCAAGTAAGATTTTATTAAGTGTTTTTATGGAGTCTACTAGCTTCGACATCGCTTAAATCTCCTACATTACCTGTGAATGTAACTTGTTTCCCCTCGTATACATTTTATGTAAAGCGTATAACTTACCATCGGTACCGGGTTTACCAAATCCTTCTGTGTCTCCGAGATCGGAAAACGCAATTGTATTACATTGTCTAAGGTTATGAGTTCCAGGGCCTGATGAATCTACCATTATTTATAATATGGAGTGTTACACTCAAGTATCCTATATGTACAGGTTCCTGTTTTACATCTAATACAGAAATTTTGAGGTCTGAAATAATACCACGCTTTATTTTTTTATATTGTAATGATGAGAAAGGTTCTGTTCTACCACTATTGTATTTTTCATCTTTGACCCGAATAGATCTGAGTAGAGTTGAAGGACTTTCGAGTTGAATATTAACCGTTGTACTGATCTGATCAAGATGGATGCACAACTCTTTATAGGGATATAAATCGGGTAATTTAACTAAACTGACGTCAAAAAAAACTTGGCAACTCGAAAAATGAAATTATTGAAATACAGATACTTTCACCCAAACGCAACCAAGCCAAAACCAGTCGCCTAAACCCATCGAATAAAATCTCATGCAATTACTGAAGTGTAGTGCACAGGTTGTTGTGGGAAAGTGATTTTGGAAGTAAAATCATTATTCACGGTTTTTTTAAATTGCACGTGAACAATCGCTATAAAAACTGCGAAGTTTATCTCTTAGAGATGCAGTAAGAAGAAAAAACACCAAAGGAATGCCCAGGTTAACACAAGAACAGCGTGAGAGGGCTATAGGAATGCTGCAAATGGGGGCAACACAGTCGCATGTTGCAAGAACATTCAACTGCTCCCGTAATACCGTTGTCAACTTGGTCCAGCAATTGAGAGTAACAGGTCGTACATCAGA